GGCACAGTGGATAGAGCACCGGCCCTGAAGTCAAGAGGACCTGAGTTCAAAGCTGGCCTCAGACCAAACACTTGATACTTACTAGCTGTGTGACCCTGGGCAAGTCACTTAACCCCAATTGCCTAAAAAACAAACAAACAAAAACCAAAAAATTACAGCAAATCTGCGTAGCCTACTGAAAAGCAGAGACATCACCTTGCCAACAAAGGTCCGTACAGTCAAAGCTATGGTCCAGTAGCAATGTATGGTTGTGAGAACTGGAATGTAAGGAAAGCGGAGTGCCACAGAACTGACACTTTCAAATTACAGTGCTAGAGAAGACTTTTGAGAGTCCCTTGGACAACAAGGAGATCAAATCAGTCAATACTTAAAGAAATTAATTCAGACTACTTACTGGAAGACCAAATACTGTAGCTGAAGGTTAAACACTTTGGCTACATAATGAGAAGACAGGGCTCATTGGAAAAGAGTTCGGAAAAGATTGAAGGCAAAAGGAAAAGGGGATAGAAAAAGGTTATGGATAGACAGTATCATGGAAGCAATGAACATGAGCTTGCATAGACTTTGGGAGACAGTGGAGGATGGAAGGGCCTGGTGCGCTATGGTCCATAGGGTCAGGAAGAGCTGGACAGGACTGAATGACAATACATTTTACATATCTGAATGTGCATTATGGCTGTTGCTTTAGAGATGTAAATTATTTTAAATATGTTCTTCCTATAGAAACTAATTTCCAGATGCTGGCAAGTCTCTTGCCTTATTTAGCCATAGCCTTCTTGATATAGTGTGATCAACATTATTTGTGATTATTACTGTTGTTAATTTGTTCTCAGTTTTATGGGGTTCCGATAGAAACAATCTGAGGACAAGCTACTAACTGCTATTATTCTTTTAAATCCAGTGTTCTGCGGACTACTAAACAGGTGGATAAAGTAACTGCTTTTTTGTAATTGAGTATTGGGATGTTAAGTTCATCTTCTGTAGACTCATTGAAAGCATCGTTGGGACTTCTCTAGTAGCAGACAGGATGACAGGGATGACAGGAACTTTGTCTTGTTTCTACATGGTTTTAATATCTCTTACTAAATCTCTATGTTTTGAAAGTTTTCCATTCTATATAGTATAGTCTGAAGATTTTAAGATTTATATAATCTCAAAGCATCTATTTTAAAACACTATTCTAAAATTTTTATGGGTCAATATTATGCCTGGGAGGTTATGGGCAACAGTTCCATCTGTAAGTATACTCCAGTCCCAGTATAGTTTATGGGTAGAATTCTCAAGAAGATCTTTGTATTTGTATTTGTAGTGTGAGGATGTGTCTACTGGTAGTTTATAAAGAATCATGAGCTTCTGCTGTATCATTCTAGCTACCTGACTGTCTTTCGCGGACCTGGTAAATACCACATTTTGGCAGCATGCAGTGATATGTTGTTCAGTAGATACTGTCGCATTGCCTAATGTGCACTGATTATTATTGTCGGTATAGAGATGCTGGCAAACGTGTCCCTTTTGTCCTGTGTTTACTCTCCTAGCTGCATCTGCAAATGCTCTTGGGATGAGCTGGCTTATTGAGTCTCATGACAAACTTTTCCCACCCTCATTTTCCCCTCCACTAGTCTTCATTATCTGTAAGATAATGTTGTTCGTAATGTTTCACACCTCTTTTAAACACAAACAGTGTAAAGATTGTACGAGAGGCCCCTGTTGTTAGATAGTCTTTAGTATGGGTGTGGCCAGTAAAGTTACCAGCGGCAGCCAATCTGGCGGTAAGCATCCCTGAATGTCTCAAGGCCAGTCCTCAGTCTGCCATGGGAATTGTTTGAGGCTTTCCACGATGGTGAGATGCGCCAGAGCTTGCAGGTAGCTGGAACAGCCTTTGAGGGTTTGGATCTGTTTGATGGCCCCATTAGACAACAGAGTAACACTGGTGATGCTATATGGCTATGAACCACTGAACACCTCAATCTCTACAGAATCAAAACGGCAAAAGTGTCTCAAATGTTATACCCTTTGACCCACAGATCTCACTGTGAGCCATATATGCCAAAGAGGTAAATGTATGTATATATATATACAGAAAGGTCCCATATACAAAAATATATTCATAGAAGCCCTTTTACAGCAGCAAACAAATTGGAAATAGGGACCCATAAATTGGGGAATGGCTGAATAAATCTGGGCATTGAATGTGGTGAAGTATTACTATGCTACAGGAAACAGAAACATGAAATCAGCGGTACACATAAAGACTTGTATGAACTGATGCAGAGTGGAATAGGTAGAACCAGGAAAACATTATGCATAGTGACTATAACATTGTAAATGGGAAGAACAGCAAGAAATAAAGAAACAAAAATGAAGTTGACTGCAGTTAAATTATAATGACCAAGCCTGGTGCTAGGGAAGAGCGGAGAAAATGCATTTCCCTACCCTCCCTGCATTTCAGAGGTAGTAGGTTTTGAGCATGAAATATTGTAAAGTCTGTCAGTGGATAGTTTAGTTTTACTGAATTGATTTTTTTTCTCTAAAAAAACCACCAAACTTTTATGTTAGAAAAAATAAAACCCTCGTAACAAATATGCCTAGTCAAGTGAAGCAAATTACCTCATTGGTCATGTCTAAAAATGTATCTTTCATTCTTCATGTTGAGTCCATCATCTCTCTGGCAGGAGGTGGGAAATGTGCTTCAGCTTTGGACCTCTAGACCATCTTTGTCATTTCACAGATCACAGTTCTAAAATCTTTTAAAGTTGTTTTTCTTTATGATGTCATTGTATAAATTATTCTCCTGGTTCTTCTCTCTTCAGTCTGCATCAGTTCAGACATATGTCCCCAGCTTCTTTTGAAACTGTTCATTTCATCTGTTCTTATGACACAATTATTCCATTACATTCCTATACCATATCTTGTTTAGCCATTCCCCAATAGGAAAGCACCCCCTTAGTTTCCAGTCTTTGCTACTCTGAAAAGATCTGCTATAAATATATTTGTACAAATAGGTCCTTTTCCTCTTTCTTTGCTTTCTGGTATATGCCTAGAAGTATTATCCCTAGGTCAAACAGCATGCACAATTTAGTGGCTTTTACTTTTCAGTTGCTTTCCAAAATGGTTGTACCAAGTGACAGCTGTACCAACAGTGCATTCATGGTCCAGTTTTTCCCACAGCCCCTCCAATATTTGTTGTTTTCCTCATGTATCATTTTTGCCAATTCGATGGCTATGAGGTATTCTCTTATTGGATCTTTGTTACAAGGGATAACATGCTGGATCAGGGAAGGGGAAAACATCTAGTACAATGCCTTATACATAATAGGCATGTATTAAATGTTTCATTTATCCATTGATTGAATAAGATCATAAATCTACTGAAATGATTCTAATAAAATCTTCTAACCAAATAAGCAACAATCCAGAACTGACTTAGCTGCACCTTTTTTTTGGGGGGGGAGGGAGGGGGAAACCTCATGTAAACCTATAAAATGAGAGATGCTATAAATTTTTATAATTAATATAAGAATATTTAATGTTTCACTTATTCATATTCTAATCTATATTTTTTTTTAACTTTGTCTCTTGTATAACAGTTAAAATGAGAGTATTCTGTTATGCTAAAATTGTGGTGAGCCTGACTAATTTGGACTCGAATATTGTGACATCTGACACTATTCAGGCTAGGTTGGGATGAAGTTTTCCTTCAAGGAAAAATTAATTTACTTAAGAGAACTAACCATAGAACCTAAATTGGAATGGACTTATCTCTTGGTTAAGAATCTCTTTCTATAACATTGCTGACAAGTGGCCAACGAGGCTCCATTGGAAAGCCTTTAGTGAGACAAAACCCACTGGCTACCATGTGTGGAAATCCAAGTCCATATCCTTTGGACAGTTCTCACTATTAGGAAGTTCTTCCTTACGTCAATCAACTCTTACATCGGTTTCCCTGCGACAATCCCTCTCCCTCCAACCTGCCCTGTTTCTAGTTCTGACTCTAGGGTCAAGCAGAATAAGTTTAATCCTTCTTTGACTCAGCAATACCACAACTAGGTTTGTATCCCAAAGAGATCAAAGAGAAAAGAAAAGGACCTATCTGTACAAAAATATTTAGAGCAGCTCTTTTGGAGGTGGCAAAGAATTGGAAATTGAGGGCATGCTCATCAATAGGGGAGTAGCTAAACAAGTTGCAGCATACAATTGTGATAACTATTGTGCTATTAGAAATGATAAGGGGTATAGTTTCAGAAAAACATGGCAAGATATATATGAACTGGTGCAAAGTGAAGTGAGAAGAACTGGGAGATCATTGTACATAGTACAACTGTAATGATCAACTGTGAAAGACTTAGCTACTCTGATCAATACAATGATTCAAGACAATTCCAAAGGACTCATGAGGAAAAGATGCTACCTACCTTCAGAGAGAAGACTGATGAGCTCTGAGTGTAAATAGAAGTATAATTTTCTCACTTTTCTTATTTTTTGCTTTTTTGTGCAATATGGCTAATATAGAAATATGTTGTTAATGATTTCACATGTATAATTGCTATCATATTGTTTTCTTTCTCAGTGAGTGGGAGAGGGGTGGGAGGGAGGGAGAGAATCTGGAACTCAAAATTTAAGAAGAAAAGAATGGTAAAAATAAATAATAAAAAAATGGGAACTCTGATCTCCTGACTCATAATTCAGGGTCCTCCTCACCACTCTTGCTGACTTCCACTGAAATTCAAAACTATGCCCCGACACCAAACACCTTCACTGCTGCCACCACCCTCTTTTCAGCTCCCTTTTGTGTGTTGTCTTCCCTCATTAGAATGTAAGTTCTTTGAGGGCAGATATTGTCTTTCTGCTTATTTTTGTAGCCACAGCAGTTAGCACAGCGCTTAGACGTAAATGATTTAATAAATGCTTCTTTTCTTCCTTGCCTCGGCCAGCTAATTTTTTTCCTCGCGCTTCCCAATGGAATTTTTTACTGAGACACGTTTCTGATAATTTCCCTTTACCTTACTATAGACTTGGTAGTTTTCTGTTGCTTCAGCAATGTGCGTGTCCAGTCTTTTCACTGCAGGAACATAAAAACTTTCTAATTCAGTGGCGTCGAGCTGTCTCTCATGGCGTGAGGGCCTCTTGGATGCTGCTCTGACTGTGCTCGACTCCTTTTCTGTGTTTGTCAGATCGTCTCCAGCGTCTGCCTTTGACTTCATCAGATCTGACCTGGGGTATTAATAGGGATGAAATGGACCAGTTATTTCGGACTACGTCCCATGGGATTGATAGAGAAAAGCAAAGTGGCTGTGATTGCATTAGGTTTAATGACTACATTCATTCATTCCTCGTATGTTTTATACAAGAAATAATATGTAACCAATTGTTGGATGCCAGAGTCATTTTTAAACTCTTCCAACAGACAGGTTTTCTAAGTAAATCAAACTGATTATACATATTGTGACACGGCAGTGCAACAGAGAGAAGCATAAAGGCTGTCTCTATATTTCTGAGGAGAGCCCAGTGCAAGGAATTTGGGGACCTAACTTGTGAAGTTTTAGTCTTGATGACTGAGGAAAAAATTGATACAAGACAGAAATAAGTTTTGGAGGGCTAACAAATTCCAGCCAGGAAAGCTGGTTAAAAAGATGGTAAAGGAGACCACAGAATCTGATGCAATTAATTTATTTTATGATTATGGTTAGTGGCTCACTAATCTTGCTACAGCTTTTTTTTTTTAACTTGGAAAAGATTTCCAATTTTATAATGTGCACTTCATTTATTCACTAACTGAATGGCACTGATTATTTTAGAATAAGGTTGTAATGGTTTTTTCAGTCCTTTATGAAGGAAATATCTTTACCTTTTCAGTCTTTGTGAAAGGCACAGTGAACTTGGAGAAGATCGACTACTTTGAACATCAGCTAACGTAGCCAAAACAAAAGTGGCTTCTAAGACCATTTCATCAATGCTGAAAGCCACAGGCCTAGAAAGGTAAAATCACAGCATAAGGGACGTTTGTATCCTCATGTAGACCACAGACATTAGCAGTACAGTGAGAGATACTTAATTTTGGAATAGAAATAGCCAAGCAGAAACACCTTTTTTCCATTCACAGGTAAAAATATACGATGTAAGATTTGTTTTTAAAATCCCACATAACATGCTTTAGTTTTTTAAGAGATAGTTAATGCATTTGAGTCATATGCACAGTTTCTTATCACTGTACCCATTTTATAAATTGTTTCACTTAAACACACTATAGAAAACTTGTAGATATCTTTCACTGAATTAAAAAAATGATATGCTATTGTTTATTTTATTTTATTGTTGTTGATGTTAGTGTTATTTTGAGACTCGGTTGGCTGGAAGTACAGTGGCCTCATCCCAATACATACCAGCTGAAGCTTTCATTTGCTCTATTTTTCTGACCAGGGCTGGTTGACCCCTCCTGAGGAAGCTTGGTGGCCGTCCATTCCCAAGGGCTCACTATGCTGGTGCCAGACTTAATTTGGACATCCTATCGATTTTAGCCCTACCACAGCTCAGAAACCCCAAACTCAAGCAATCCGCCAGCCTCAGCCTTGTCAGCATCAGTAAATACAGGAGTGTGCCACCAAAACCAGTTGCTATGCTTTATTCTAAAATAAAAATATAACTTCATAAGTGCCTAAGAATGATATTACACATAATTACCTCGTATAGGATAATAAGTGCTCTGTCAGCATAGTGTAGTTTCTAGGTCTATTTTCTTTTCCTTTGTTAAGCAATGGAGTTAAGTGACCTGCCCAGGGTCACACAGCTGGTAAGTGTCAAGCATCTGAGGCCAGATTTGAACTCAGGTCCTTCTGACTCCAGAGCCAGTGCTCTATCCACTGTACCACCTAGCTGCCCAGGCTTAGCTATTTTCAAGCGAGATTCTAGAAGTTTTTATCACAATATACATCAATTAACATATTATTTATTTAATACATTATGGTTAGATATAATAAATTATAATTTGTTAATAAATTAATACATAGCTACTCAATAATATAAGGGACTTACTTTCCAGAAAGATCAAAATAAATAGACACAGGAGCAATTGTAGCTTCTGAAAATGCCAGCAGTCCCTAAAAGAAAAAAAGGTGGATTTCTATGAAGTAGAAGTAATAATTATAAACTCTAGCATGAAGGAAATATGAGTCCTTACCCTCAGTTCTTTAAGACAAAATGTTACTTCAGTGTCAACTCCAATTTGAAAGTAGTCAAATTCATCAGGATCGAGATGCATTTCAGTGTACATACACTTGGCAAAATCTATTTGAATATTAGGAAAAGTAAGGATGAAAGAAATCAGATCCATAGTCTCTGACTGTCAAAGCACCCTCAGGAACATTTCCTGACCACGATTAAGTTTTCGAAAAAAACTACGTGATTGACATTGTCACTCTAATATTGACATTAGGCAAGTGATGAGATTAGATAAACACCATACACTTTAAGGAATTCAGGTAGAAAGCTATTTATAAACAGCGTTTTTCACATTATGAGTTTCTAATTCAAAGGATATTAAAGTGAGTCCTTTTTAATTTATTTCTTAATTATTTGTTTCATTGTAAGGATAGGGCTTGATTAAGTAAAGCAATCAAATGATCCCAGTCTATCTAAAGTTAAGGATGCTCTACCTGAGTGTGAACAATCCCTGGACACCTCCACAGGTGTGACAGGATATCTGTTCAGATTGGTTGGGGGATTTAGGTGGCATGATGGATAGAGGGCTGGGCATGGAACAGCTGGGTTCATATTCAGCCCCAGACTTTTACATGCTGTATGACTCTAGGCAAATCGCTTAACCTCTGTATGCCTCAGTTTCCTCATCCATAAAATGGAGATAACAATAGTACCTACTTCCCAGTTTTGTTGTGAGGATCTAATGAGAATATCTGCATAGTTAATAGCTTAACATTAGCTTTAAAGTTCCTGGCACATGGTAAATGCTATATAAATGTTTAGTAATTGTTATTGTTCTTTATTTCTCATGCCGTCTGAGGACTGTCATAAAGCCAGGAGCTAGTTGAGGGCCCAAGAGATTGAAGTGCCTGGTGGCAGAGAGGAAAGAGAGCCACTGCTGAAACAGAACTCCATAGGAAGGAAGAAGAACACATGGTAGTCCCCCCTTTGCTTCCTCTCCCTCCATCCTGGCCAAAGGAGGATGCTGCAAGCTTTGGAGGGTCAGGAGGGTTTTAGACTTTCCATCTTCTGATTAGCATTCCAGCAGCATTCCTGGAACAACTTCACGCAGAGTCTGCATGGGGAGCCAAGGACAGACTGGGAAGAGATTCCAGAGAAGATACACCATCCCTAAGGAGAACAGCTTGAAAATTCTAACAACAGGAATTTCAGGAACTGGGAACTGCCTACTGTGCCACATGTGCTCACCAAGCGTGAACCCACTTTGTCCTGAACTCTGCACTGGTGGTAAAAGCACAGGCTTTGGAGGGGAATATTTGTACCAACTATACCAACTATATTACTTTAGTAAATATGCCTTTCTAAAAGTTAATTAAATCTCACTAACTAATTAATATCAACTAATACTTATGTGAGAAGCACACTAGCAGGAACTACATTAGAAAGACACCCTAGAATCCCAAAGACCCAGAAGACCCATGTTCTGGGGACCTGAGTGTGAATGAGGCTAGCCAGAAGAGTAAATCCAGACCTTAAATATGTTTATATTTCTGTTTAATTCCTCAAATGAGAGATAATGGTATAGTCAGTGCTGATTTGTAACACATAAAACTAGCTAGTTTTAATTAGGAGGGACAAAGACCTACCAGTAAACACGTTCAAAGAAGCACTAGGTTTCAGCTCTTGTTCCATCCTACTATTTCTGTAAAACCTACTATGTACTACAAAAGCCCCACTATGTACTACAAAACCTTGGGCAAATCAACTAACCTCCCTAAGTCTTTCCTCTTCTCTGTAAAATGAGAGGGTAGAGCTAGACTAAATTCAATAAACATTTATTAAAGACCTAATATGGGGCAAAGTATTGTTTAGATGCTCTGTAAGTTCTTTTCTAGTTCTGTGGATCTGATTTTGTGAACTACACAATATATTCAAATGCCCTTTACCCATAAAGGAAACTAACTCAATGTGAATTTTGCAATGCATTGTAAACATTCAATTTAAATTACACAAGCAACATTTACTTTCAGATATCCTGTACAATTCCATCTTGTGAAAATTAAATTGTTACTTCAAACACAATTGTTCTTTTCTAAGTTGATCTAAGAACAACTAAATCTTTATGACAGAATACTTTTTTTTAAAAGTAAAGGTATTATTTTAATTTGTGCTTTCTAGACCTTAGATAAGTTAGGAAAGTTTAGTCAAAATAACAATTGTGTGTATTCAAATTCTAAGCCATCCCTCCCCCACAAATATTTTAGAAGAGGCTATCTTCTGCTTTTGATTGCCAAAATAATCTTGAGCAGAGAAAAACAATCCCCCCCTCCCCTGCCACACACATACATCTTTAAACAACACAGTAATGCAAGAGATCTTTACTTGCACTTATAAGTGGAGCCTGTTTCAGAATCGAGTTTCATTTTCAAGCACCTACAACAAACAAGGATGCAAGAAACCCAGGTTCAATACCAAAACTCCTCCTGTGTGATGTTGGATAAATCACTCTATTATAAGGTAAAATCCCTTCATTTATAATGAGAGGATTAGACTAGATGACCCCAAGTTCCTTTCCAGGTATAAAATCCTATGATCCTATGACAAAAGTAATGTAAACTTACTTTTAAAATCCCTATTTGACCTGAACTTACACTGACTATCCATTAATGGCCAGTTTTAGATATAGATAGATATAGATATAGATATAGATATAGATATAGATAGATATATGTATATGTATGCATGCATATGTATGTATATGTGTATGTATATATACATGTGCACATATATGTATATGTGTATGCGTATGTATGTGCATGTATGTACATATATATTTATACACACACATATATATGTTAGCAACATTCTTACTCTCCTATAAAAATGTCACAATCGCAGTTTATAATTCTAAATTAATCGTTTTTTACTTGAGTGAGAACCCTACATAACAAGTAGAGCTGTGAGTTATTTTTGTAATGGCAAAAAGTTCGAAACTTAGGGGATACCCGTCTATGCAGGAATGGCTGAACAAATTGTGGTATTTGAATATAGTGAATATTATTGTGCTCAAAGATAGTTTTTGAAAAACTTGGCAAGACTTGTATGGACTGAGATAAAGTGAAATGAGGAGAATCAGGAAAATTATTTATACTATATTATCAATATTATAAAAATTAATAATTTTTAAAGATTCAAGAACTTTGATCCATGCAATGATCAATTATAATTCCTGAGGACCAATGATGATGAATGTCACCCACCTCCTGACAGAAAGGCGATGGATTAAATATGAAAAATGAGAAATAAATTTTTCAATATGGGAGTTTGTTTTGTTAGATTATAATTACTAGTTGCAAGTTGCAATTACTAGTTCCTTTTTCTTTTTTTTTTTCCCCCAGAGAAGGGCAGAGGGGGAGGGAAAAATCAAATGTCTGATAATTGAGAAAAATCTAATTAAAAAAATGAGGTGGACCTTCAAAATATATATTTTTTAACACAAACAGTAGAAACTTGTTATTCTCTATAGCCCAGAACCAGTGTGGGACAATGAAAAAAGGTACTAGATTTGGAGTCAGAGGACCTGGGTTTAGGCCTACAGGCCTAAGGCCCAAGGCCACACAGGCCATAGGCAAGACTTCAATCTTCTCTGGGCCTACATCCCGTCTTCTCTAAAGTGAAGGGGCTGGACTAGACCAGGGGCCTAGGTCCTTCTCAGCTCTGCATCTGTGATCCCATGATGGAATTAGGTCAAGGCCTAAGCTACAGAAATGACACAGCAGGCGAGACACAACCCCTCGATCTTATACTAGGCAAGTTTTTGTGAGCAGTGCCATGCATTCAGGTCCTAACTGGCAGCACTGGGCCTATTCCAAAGTGGCCTTATGCGAATGAAAGCAGTATCTTTGCCAACTTGGTATTCATTTTCCAATCCTCCCTAACACCACCAAAAAAAAAAAAGGCACTGAATCGGATCCAACTAATTGAAGGCCCTGGTTCTACTAGTTTCTCATTTTAAAACAAATAAAGTTTCTTCCTCTGTGTTTGGTCATCCCAGGTGGGGACTCGGTCAAGCAGCTTAAGATTAGCTGTTATGTTGAAAAGATACGGAGACATTTTCTTGATAGCTCCAAACCCCTGATTCTATTGCACCATTGTTAAGTTCCTTTATCCCATTAGCAAACCTTTTAGGATAGCTACCTTTATGTACTTTCATTTTTTTTCCCTTTTCATATATTCCATCTAGAAAGTTTCCTTCACACACAACTTGGCCAAAATTATTTTTTCTTAAAAAAAATGGGAATTGAAAACTTAATTTTATTTGCATTAAAATGCTTTTATTTGGGCTATAAAAGTAACAGAAAACATACTGAATCTTTCCCCACTACTGGCAAAGTCATTACTACTGCATTTGTTTCCTTTCTGGTGACCCAAGATCAACTTAAAAACAGTGCCCAATTTAAGTTCCAATTTGAATGAATCGACCTTCCCTTTCCAAAAGTCTTCACTTGATTTTTACATCTTATTTAAATTACTTTAAAATTCTGAACCTACCGTGTAATTTCTAATTGGCTTAGTCTCAAAATTATCTACAAAGGCATTATCAAAAGGTACTTCTTACCTATTTCATCCTCAATATAGCTCTTAAAGCAAACTTTCATTGGTGTCACAGCTAAAGTAATTTCTTCTTGACTCAGTGGAAAATGAATCATTATATCAGCCAACAACCTAAGAACAGTGAGCCACATTAAAATTAATTGAAAACAAACAAAAACAAATCACCAAGTGTTAATTCGATCTTTACCTCACAATATGGGTTGTTATGGTTCAGGTTTTTTAATATTCACACAACAAAAGAATGACTTTGTGAATTATTTTCTTTAAATTTTAATATTTTATTGTAGATTTTTAAAAAATTATATTCGTCATGGAAAACCACATAAAAACAAAACATCATTAATTAAAATACTTTAAATCCATAGCAGCTTTAATAAAACACCAGGATAAAATGTCATGAAAAGAGTTAGTCACATGTATAACTGGATTTTGAAGCTACTGGTGTACCACCTCCTGAAGATGGCCTCATACAGTGTGGCAACACAGGGCACTAGGCTGGAAATCTGAACCCTTTTGTGTTCTAGTCCAATCTCTCCTGTAATCCTTGGCAAAGCAGGGCTCCTCAAACCTTGGGATTTGGGTTTCCTCAGTTGTAATAAGGAGGTTAGACGTCTCTCTAAGCTCCTTTTTCAACATCCTAAAATCTTGAGATAATATTAAATATACATACATTTGGTGTGTGCATTCCCATTTTTGTATCACTTATCCAGAAATCTTATTCCATTCTTGACATCACTAAAGTTTTTATCTAGTAGAAATGCACAAGTCTTTATCTTTACCTTACCCTGTTTTTGGAGCTCCTGTCCTCAACACCCCTCTGAATCACCGTGTATTAACTTTGTCCATATTTTGTAGATGCCTATTTGCATACATGTTGTTTTCCTGCCATGGAAAGTAAGCTTCTGTAGAACACAAGACTTTTTTGTCTTTGTGTCCCTGGCACCTAGTACAGTGCTTGGCACATTGGAGGCACTTAAAATGAGCTTATTGAATGAATAGATGAAGAAATACCCAAAAGGAAAAAAAATTCTGGTCATTTTTCTATGAAACAGATTAGTTGGCTATTTCTTTACATGCTCAGCACAAAAAAAGAGGTAAAAGGGAATTATTTTTTAAAATTTTTTATTCATTTTGAACTGAAATACAAAAAGACAAAAAAATTTCCATGTACACAGCTTTTGTTTGTCCTTCATTCTCAAAGAGAACCAATGACATCAGGAAGGTGATGTCTTGACTTGCAAGTGAATCAGGCAGTGTGCAAAGTCATTGGTCTCTCTCCTCCAGAGCTGTCTGGGTCCAGTGGCATAGATAAGAACAACTGGAAATGGCCCCAGATGCAATAGGAAGACCATGGCCTTTTTAAGCAAAGGTCTTTTCCAGGACTCGGTTTGTCTGTCTGAGGCAAAGCCCACACAGTTATTAAGAATAGGTATGAAATGAGGCAAAAAGTAGCCTCTTTCACCTAGTCAAAAAAAAAAAATAATCTGGGAGGGGAAGACCCTTAGGATTTCTGGCCAAAACAGAAACCAGGCCTGCACAGCCTAAGGCCAACAGGCCACTTGCAAACACACCAAAAGATTTCAGAGGGCCTGTGAAAAAATGTAGAGGACATTGTGCTTGTCTGACAGAAATGATTGCTATTTACACTCCCCTGAGCCATTAAAACCCAAATAATGACCAAGTGAGACTCGGGCTGAGACCTATTGTTGGACAATCTGGGAGAGCCAGTGATTTATGTTGAAAACGTGGTCAAGTAGCTCCATTTGAATCCCAGTGGGCTTTATCAAAGCCTAGTTCTCCAATGCTATATTCAAGAAATCATAAATGAAACTTCATGGGACAAACTAGTTAATTGTCCAGTTATCCTTACCTGTAGGTGCTCTGCCCAAACGAATATAAATTTTGATCACTGAAACCTCACAAGATATCTTGAGGTTTACAGGCTAGTTTTTTCCCCTCTTCTCTACTTATTTATTTTATCATGTACACAGTACAATGTAAAGAGAGGATTCAATATAAAACCATGAATTTCCATTTCAGACTGCTTACTTTAAAAAAAACTACATAATAAATACTACATATTGTTTTCAAAGTTATCCTGCTTTTCTTTTCTTCCTTCTAAGTTGTCCTTTTGTTCTCTGATGTACACTTTTTTTTCCTCCCTCCCTCCCCACCCCATCCTAGAGAAGTCTACAATTACACACACACACACACACACACGTATGTATGTGTGTGTGTGTGTGTGTGTGTGTGTGTGTGTGTGTGTGTGTGTGTATATAAAGCCATACTGTACATACTTCTATTTATCAGTTTTTTCTCTGGAGGGGGATAGCATCTTCCTTCATAGGTCCTTTGTAGTTGGTTTAAATATTTATGATACTCAAAATCAATTAATCATTCAAAGTTGTTCTTACGATAGTATTTCCATTATTATATACAACATTCTCTTGGTATTACTTGTTTCACTTTTCATTATTTCATGCTAATCTTTCCATATTTTTCTAAAATCAACTGGTTCATCATTTCTTATAGCACAGTATTGTTCCATCACAATCACAAGCCACAACTTGTTTAGCCATTCCCCAACAGAAAGGCATCTATCATTTTAGCCAATCTAATAAGTATAAGATAATATCTCAAAGTTGTTTCAATTTGCATTTCTCTAATCAATAACGATTTAGAGCATTTTTTCATATGACTATAGTTTTGATTTCTTCATGGAATAACTCTCTGTTTATAACCTTTGACTATTTATCAATTGGGGAATGACTCATTCTTATAAATTTGACAAAGTTCTTTATACATTTGAGAAATGAGACCTTTTTGAGAGACTATAAAGATTTTTTCCCAATTCTCTGCTTTCCTTTTAATCTTGGCTACATTGGTTTTATTTGCACAAAATCCTTTTAATTTAATGTAATTGAATGTATCAATTTTATATCCCACAATGCTCTCTATCTCGTTTATACATAAGTTGTTCTCCTATCCATAAATCTGATACGTAACATGTTCTATGCTCTTCTCATTTTTCTTGTGATATCTCCCTTTATATCTAGGTCATGTATCCATTTTGACCTTCTCTTGGTAAATGTTTTAAGATATTGGTTTATGCCCAATTTCTGCCAGACTGCTTTCCAGCTTTCCCAACAATTTTTACCAATGAATTCTTATCTCAAAAACCTGAATCTTTATATTTGTCAATCACAAAATTGCTATAACCATTTGTTATTGTATTTTGTATGTCTACTGTGTTCCAATAATCTACCTATTTCTTAGCCAGTACCAGACAGTTTTGACAATTACTGCCTTATAATATAGCTTAAAATCTGGTACTGCTAAAGCCCCTTCCTTTATATTTTCTTCACTAGTTTCACTGAAATTCTTGATCTTTTGTTCTTCCAAATGAATTGTGTTATTATTTTTTCTAAGTCACTAAAATATTTTTTGGTAATTTAATTGGGATGGTATTGAATAAATAAATTAGGTTAAATTGTCATTTTTATTATGTTGGCTTTATCTATCCATGAACAATTAATATTTCTCCAGTTATTTACATCTGACTATTTGTATAAAGAGTATTTTTAAAGTATGTTCCTGTAGTTCCTAGGTCTGTTTAGGCAGGTATACTCCCAGATGTTTTATACTATCTACAATTATTTTAAATAGATTATCTCTTACTATCTCTTCTTGAAAGGTTTTGTTGGTGATACATAAAAATGCTAATGATTTGTGTGGGTTTATTTTATATTCTACTGCTGTGCTGAGATTATTAATTGGTTCAACTAGCTGAATCTTTAGGATATTTCCAAATATATCATCATATCATCTACAAAAAAAGATAGTTTATTACCTTATTTCTCATTCTGATTCCTTCAATTTCTTTTTCTTCTCTTATTGCTATTGCTAGCATTATTAAAATAATATTGAATAATATTGGTGACATAGTGTAGTTTCCCTGTTTATCTATTTTAATTAAATTTATTTTTTTTGGGGGGGGAGGCAATTGAGGTTAAATGACTTGCCTGGAGTCACTCACCTAGTAGGTGTTATGTGTCTGAGGCTGGATATGAACTCGGGTCCTCCTGACTCTAGGGCCAATGCTCTATCCACTGTACCACCTAGCTGCCCCCAATTAAATCTCTTTTAACTTCAACTTGTCTGAGATCATAACTGCTACCCCTGCTTTTTTTGTGTGTGAGGCAATGGGGTTAAGTGACTTGCCCAGGGTCACAGAGCCAGTAAGTGTCAAGTGTCTGAGGCCAGATTTGAACTCAGGTCCTCCTGATTCCAAGACTGGAGCTCTATGCAGTGTATCACCTAACTGCCCTTGCTTTTTTTTTTTTACATCAGTTGAAGCATAATAAACTCTATTCCAGCCCTTTATTTTAACTCTGTGTGTATCTCTCATTTTTAATTTTGTTTCTTGTAAACAACATTGTCAATTCTGATTTTTAATCCATTCTGCCATCCCTTTCCCTATTATGGGTGAGTTCATCCCATTCACATTCAAAATTATAATTACTAGTTGTGTATTTCCCTCCATCCTATTTTCGCTCTCTATCCTTCTCACCCTATTTCCTCTATCCTTCCTCAAACATCTAATTTACTCCTAACCACAACTTTTATCCCTGTCTTAACCTCTCCCCCATCATCCCAATTCTTAATCTATATACCTTTCTAAAAGTCCTTCCCTTACCCTGTCCTCTCCCCCTCTTATTTCTTTATAAATTTAGAAGACTTTTATACCTTTATAGATGTATATGTTGTTCTAAGGTTCTAGCACTACCAGCCCTCCACCGCTATCTGTTTCTTCTGTGTCAGTTCTTCCTTTCATGCCTCATTTATATGAGATAATAGCTCTTTTTTACTTCTCCCTACTTAGTTTTATTTTTTAGAATCACCCCTTCATACTCAAGCTCAGCCCAATCCTTTCTTTCAAACCACCCAAGTACTGATGACAGTCTTAAGAGTAATGATAACATTTTCACATATAAGAAGTAAATAGTTTGACCTTATTGAGTCCCTTATAATTGGTCTTTAATGCTTACCTTATGTTTATCCTGGATCTTATATGTTGAATTTTCCACTGAGTTCTGGTCTTTTTGTTACAAATACCTGAAAGTCTTTCAGTTCATTTAATGTCCATTTTTTTACATTTGGAATTATATAGTTATCCCTTCCACATTGTAACTTTCCTCATCGAGGTTTTGATATATCCTGGGTCAGCATAAGAAATTAAATGGAAATTTTGGGAGAGTTTTGCAGAAGTTGTAGATGATATGAGAAGGCCAGCAGACAACACAGAGCCTATGACCAGATACTTAATCCAAATTTTACAATAAGGTACTGTAAACACCCCATAAAAGAAAAAAAATCAGATTTCTCTGGTATTGAGGGCCAAAAATTTTTACATGGATTTTCCAGATGTTGGGGGCACTGCACCCCTAACCCCTGCAATGTAGAAAGGATAACTGTACTCAAATTTGCTGGGTAATTTATTTTTGGTTACAACCAGAGCTCTTTTGCTCTTTGAATTAAAGTGTTCCAAGATCTATGTTTTTTTAATGTAGAAGCTGCTACATCTTATGTGATCCTAATTGTAGCTCCTCAGTATTTAAAATGGATTTTTTTTCCTTTTGCTTGTAATATTTTCTCTTTAATGCGGGAGCTTTGAAACTTGGTTATGATATTCCTGGGATCTCTTTCAGGTGATGATTGGTGGATTTCCCCTCCCCCCCATTTCTACTTTCCCTTCTTGTTCTAGAACTTCAGGGCAATTTTCCTTAATAATTTCTTGTTATATTGTCTCAAGATTTTTTTTTTGTAACTTTCAGGTAGTCCAACAATTCTTATATTGTCTCTTCTTGATCTTTTCTCCAGATCAGTTGTTTTTCTGATGAGGTGTTTCACATTTTCTTCTATTTTTTCATTCTTTTGATTTTATTATTTCTTGGTGTCTTATAACATCATTAGTTTTCCCTTACCTAATTCTAGTTTTCAAGGAGTTATTTTCTTCCTTAAGTTTTACAATCTCTTTTTCCAATTGGATGATTTTTTAAAAAATAATTTTCTTGATTTTCTTGCTTACGTTTTTCCCCAATTTTTGTCTAATTTCCTAATTTTCTATTTCTCTTATTTGATTTTTGAATTCCTTTTTAAGTTCTTCCAAGAACTCTTTTTGGGCTTGTGACCATTTGATGTTTCTCTTAGAAACAGAAGTGTTGTTGTTTTTTTAAACTTCAATATCCTCCTCTGAATATTCCCCCATAGTAGCTATCTGTGGTTGGTTTCTTTCTTCTTTGCTTACTCATTTTTTAATTTTTATTTTGTTTTATTTTATTTTTAGTAGCTTATATTGTAATCAGGTCCCAAGGTGTGGGGAATGGCCTCAGATCCTTCTTACTGTCATTTTCTGAGCTCTATCTGTAGACCCAATCTTGGACACTTCTCTTCACCCCCAAGCCATGACTAGGGCCCCCAACTACATTGTAAAGCAAATGCTCTTGCTTCCTGTGGTCCCTCCTGGGGCTGCCCTGGAACTGAAAGTAGGGACTCCGCTGTCCTGCAAATGCCCACAGCCATCAGGGTTCCCACCCCTCTACTACCACACTCACCAGTCACATCCTTGCTGCAGCCAGGGACTGCTCTGGTTAGCACAGCTGGTCCTGGCATCCCATGACAGCAGAGGGCTCTTCAATCTTCCCCTACTCAGCTGTCCAACCCCCCACTGTCCAAGGTAAAAGTTCCTGAGACTTTAGCCTGCCTCCCTCCCTGAGGCCTCCTGACCCATTTTCCCCCAGGCTTTGCTGTCTGTTGATTCAATGAGTCTGCCTGGAGATGTCTGCACTTCACTCAGGCCAAATCTCCTCCCCCTACCCCAAGTAGAGTCTTTCCTGGGGTCTTCTCAGATTGTCGTAGTAGGACAACTGCTTTGCCTTGACTTTTGTTTATTTCTGCTGCTCTATGTTGCCTCTGAGGTGATGTTCTATCTTTTTTTTTTTTTTGTGGAGGAAATCTGGAGAGCCAAAAGTTTTCTGACCTACTCCATCACCTTCCCAGAATCTTTTCCTCAGTAATTCATTTTTAATGATTGACTCTTTTAGCTGGAAAATTTGATTTAGATTCATAGAATCACAGAATTTGAGAATAAAAGCAACCTCAGTAGACATTTAGTCCAACCCATACCTCAAAAATAATCCTATGTTGAAAACAAATTTGCATCATTCACTTCAACCAACAGAAAACTAAGGTACTGTGAGATTAAGCATTTCTCCCAAAATCATATGGCAAATGTGACGAAAAATCTACTTAATTAAACCCAAAGAGTTATGTGGTTAGAAGGTCTCAAATAAGGAATGTCTTATTAGAGTGTTTTCCTCCATTGGGGGAAATTATACATGCCGGATAAATGGGATAACTTTAAAATATTTTCCACCAAAAGGTTGAGGAATTCTACAATTAGGTAGCTCTACTTTAAATTATCATTCTCAAGGTGTATTCCTTAAATCCTCTTGCTCCAATGTGTCTAAGGTATTTACGATAACCTCAAAAACTGTAACAGATTTGGAAACTATAGGTTATGAGTTTTTATTCTGGGACCAAAGTTCTTTCAGTATCTGAGAGTGAAAAATGGAGAGGCAGAGGCAGGTAGAGGGCTTAATTACCTTGACTGAACTTTCAATATATTAGGACACATATTCTTTGCAAAAACAGCTTGTAAAGGCTCAGATTCTTGGAAAGACAGATTATGAGTTTTTATAATACCTACAAAAGAGCACAGAATAATCACTTAGCATTTTGAAATTCCGAATGAATGTGTACATAATTAACTTACAGGAGTTGCTTAAAGGCAAAATGAGGACTAGAGACCAATACACAGCACAGTATCTGGCACATAGTAAACATTTACTAAACACTTATTTATGACTGAATGAGTTTTAAGGTCCCACCTAGCTCTGAAGCCTATGATCCTTTGAATGACTGGAAGAGGAGTTAACTGGGCAGAACAAAAATAACAGATGGACAAGTTGGTGTTACACTCCAACAGCCCTCGCTTGATACTCACTGAGAGCTAAAAAACATTAAAGACCCTGAGGAAGGGCTCCAGCCTTCCAGCCAGGTCAAAGTGCCCTAATGAGGCCACACAAAAAGGACATGGGAGCAAGACTCACAGATGGGCTGTAATCCACACCAGAGGAAGGCATAACCTCACCTGGATGAAATCTCAGATCCATCAGCTTCAGAGATAGGCTTTTTTTTTTAAATTCGGGAAAAAAAACCTATCTTAAGTGGCTGCATGGTACAGTGAATAAAGAACTGGCCTCATAGTCAAGAACACCCAAGGTCAATTCCTGCTTCTGAGATGCATGCACACACACACACATATTATCTATATACACATACACATATATACTTCTAATGCAGCTCGTATATATGTGTGTACATGTGGAGGACTAGCACCTCTGGCTGTGAGGGCTTGCTGAGCCCTTTTCCAGGCTTCTAATCCACCTTTGGTATCCACCTTCATCCAACTATCACCCATGGCTCCAAGAAGCGGTAGCATGGGAAAGTCTTTGGTAGGATAGCCGAGAAAAGGCAGTGACTCACTTGAGCTCTCCCAAACTCCCCTCCAAACAACTTTAAAAGAAGGCCTCAAAACCAAGTCTAGAATGGCAGAACCAACAAAAGGATGGGGCAAAACAATTTGCCAGCCCAAGACAACTTAGAAGGATGGCAGAAGAGGCCTATTACACTGGAGTGAGGGTGGAGAGTGAGAGGAAGAGTGCACAATCCAGTGCAGGCAATGCCCCAGCAAGGCAAGCAAGCAGCAGGCCTTGGAAACAACTGAATCATGGCAGCTTCCAGAGCTCTCAGCCCACAGACAGCAAGGAAGGTGGACAACTGGCCAGGAGAGTAAAGGGGTCCCTTTGCTGGTGCAGGACTCTGTTGCATTGCCCATGTGCAGATCTGGGTCAAAGTCCTAGGTCACAGTCAGGGCAAGGAGGAGCTTGTGGCAAAGAGGAGCCTACCAGAACTTGTGGCTGCAGGGAATTAGGGAACCTGGTCACAGTTTCAGGGCAGAAAAGAGTGGTTTTGATAGCTTGTGGACCAGAGCCAGAAGTGTGGCCAACACACCTCTCCTCAGATCACGCCACCTTGCAAGAACTGAAAACTTAGAGAACCCTAGGAGTAGCTCTAAAAACAGCTGCACAAAAAACCTGAAGCTAGGGATGGTGCCCTCCTCCACCGTGAGAGCAAAGCCCAACTTTAATATCAAGTTAAAAGTCAAGAAATAGGCTGAGAAAATAGCAAACAACAACAAAAAAGAACCTAACCACAGAAAGTTACTATAGTGACAGGGAAGAGAAAAACACAAGCTCAAAAGACAATAAAGTCAAAACTGCTACATCCAAAGCTTCAAAGAAAAATGTGAATTGGTTTTAGACCCCAAAAGAATTCTTAGAAGAGCACAAAAAGGATATTAAAAATCAAATAAGACAGGTGAAGGAAAAATTGGGGGTGGGGGTGGGGAATGAGTGTAATGCAAGAAAATCATAGGAAAAAGAAGTCAATAACTTGGTAAAGGAGGCACAAAACAATATTGAAGAAATAATACCTTTAAAAAAAACAGAATAGGCCATATGGTAGAAGAGGTACAAAAATTCACTGAAGAGAAGAACTCCTTAAAAAGCATAATTGGCCAAATGGAAAAGGAGGTTAAAAAAAAAAAGCTAAGTGAAGAAAATAATTCCTTAAAAATTAGAAGTGGGCAAGTGGAAGCTAATTACTCCATGAGACATCAAGAAACAATAAAACAAAATCAAAGAATTAAAAAGTAGAAGAAAATGTGAAATATCTCATCAGAAAAAATAACTGACCCGGAAAATAGATTGAAGAGAGATAATTTAAGAATTATTGGACTACCTGAAAGCCATAATTTTAAAAAAAGAGTCTAGCCATCATCTTTCAAGAAATTATCAAGGAAAACTCTGTTGATATTCTAGAATCAGAGGGTAAAATAGAAATTTAGAGAATCTACCAATCATCTCCTAAAAGAGATCCCAAAATGAAAACTCCTAGGAATATTAGAATATCAGGATAACACCAGATTTAGCAGCTTCTACATTAAAGTATTAAAGGGATTGGAATACAATATTTGGGAGGGCAAAAGAGGTAGGATTACAACCAAGAATCACCTACCCAGCAAAACTTATATTGAGTAAAATCCTTTCGGGGGGGGGGGGCGGGAATGGATATTCAATGAAATTGAGGACTTTTAAGCACTCTAAGATCAGAGTTGAATAAAAAATCTGACTTTCAAATACAAGACTCAAGAGAAGCATAAAAAGGTAATTAGGAAAGATAAATCATAATGGATTCAATGAAGTCAAACTGTTTGCATTTCTACATGGGAAGATAATACTTGTAATTCCTAAAAAGTTTATTATTATTAAGATACTTAGAAGGAATAATTGAATATGATAAGATGATATCTAAAAAAAATAAGATGAAGGAGTGAGAAAGGAATACACTGAGAGAAGGGGGAAGGGAGAGGTAGAATGTGGTAAATTATCTCACATAAAAGAGATGTGAAAGAACTTTTACAGTGGAGGGAGAAATGGGGGTAGAGGGCAGAGGGCTTGAACCTTACCCTCATCAGAATTGGCTCAAAGAGGGAATAACATACACATTCAGTTGGGTATAAAATTTATTTTACTTTACAGAAAAGTAGGAGGTCAAAAGAAGGGGTGAGGCTGATAGAAGGGGAGAATGGATTAGGGAAGGTGGTAGTCAAAAGCAAAACACTTTTGAGGATGGATGGGGCAAAAGGAGAGAGAGAGAGAGACAGAAAGAGACAGAGACAGCGAGGGACAGAGAGAGAGACAGACACAGAGACAGAGAGAGGGAGATAGGGAGAAGGATAAACATGGGGAAAATAGGACAGGGACAAATACATAGTTTGTAATCATAACTGAAAATTTTTACAGCAAGTTTCTCTGATAAAGACCTCATTCTCAAATTTGTAGAGAACTGAATCACATTTATAAGAATACAAGTCATTCTGGAATTCATAAATGGTCAAAGAATATGGATGGGCAATTTTCAGATGAAGCAATCAAAGATATCTATAGTCATATGAAGAAATGCTCTAAAACAGTATTGATTAGAGAAATGCAACTTAAAACAATTCTGAGGTACCACTTCACACCTATCAGACTGGCTAATATGACAGAAAAGGAAAATGACAAATGTTGGTGGGGATATGGAAAAAATTAGGACAATAATGCATTATTGGTAGAGTTGTAAACTGATCTAACCATTGTGGGGAGCAATTTGGGACTATGTCTAAAGGACTATAAAACCCTGCATACCATTTGACCTAGAAATACCACCACTAGGTCTGTATCCCAAAGAGACAAAAAAACAAAAAGGAAAAGGACCTATATGTACAAAAATATTTATAGCAGCTCTTTTTGTGTTGGCAAAGAATTGGAAATTGGGGGGAGGGGAGAGGATGCCCATCAAGTGGAAAATGTCTTGAACAACTTGTGGTATATGACTATGATGGAATACCACTGTGCTATAAGAAATGACCAGCAGGATGCTCTCAGAAAAACCTGGAAAGACTTATGTGAACTGATGCAAAGTGAAATGAGCAGAACCAGAATACTGTACATAGTAACAGCAATATTGTATGAATGATCAACTCTGAATGACTTAGCTATTCTCAGTAATACAATGATCAAAGACAATTCTGAAGGACTTATGATGAAAAATGCTATCTGCCTCTAGAGAAAGAACTAACAGAATTTGAATTCAGATCAAAGCATGCTTTTTTTTAAGCTTTATTTTTCTTGGGTTTTTTTGTCTGTGTTTTCTTACACAACATGTCTAATATGGAAATATGTTTTACATGACTGCACATGTACAAGCTACACCAAATTGCTTGCCTTCTTAAGTAGGAGGGAAGGAAGGGAGGAAAGAATTTGGAACTCATAATTTTTAAAAAATGAATGTTAAAAATAGTTTTTACATGTAATTGGGGGAAATTAAATACCACAACTCAATGATGCTGTAGCATATACAGTGGCCATACCCCAGTAACCATCTTAATAGACAGTTTAGACCAGGTTGAGGGTATCTAATAAGCCTCAAACCTGTCAGTGAGTGAGTTAGGGAACTGTCTACCCCAAACATGTGAAGACAAGAATAATTTGTTTCGGGGCAGCTAGGTGGCACAGTGGATAGAGCACCAGACCTGAAGTCAGGAGGACCTGAGTTCAAATCCGGCCTCAGACCAAACACTTGACACTTACTAGCTGTGTGACTCTGGGCAAGTCACTTAACCCCAATTGCCTTAAAAAAAAAAAGGGAAAAAAAAAGAATAATTTGTTTCAATAGCTAGGAAGGCAGTGGAAGTAAGTACCACAAGAGTGCTTAGATCTTGGTCAAGCATCAAAGACACCAAGGTCATCCACTGCATCCTGGGGCATTGCCAGTTGTCTTGACTTTTGTCCTGCCACTAGACTTTGATGATTCAGGAAATAACGAGGCTGATGACTTTGTGCAACTCTGCCTCGTGTAAAATCAATTCATATGCAAGTCAAGACATCCCCCGTGAAGTCACAGGTGATGCCATTGGTCCTCTTTAAAAACAAATAACAAACAACACACACACACACATACATAACACACACACACACACACATATATATATATGGACAAGCTAGTGTTACATTGTCCTTGTTGGCAAACTCACTGATGCAACTAATATCTAGTAATACTGGAAAACTAGTATTTTATATTGTTAATATATTATTTTATAATGTTTATATATTATTTACAATTAGAAAATTAGTATAAAACTGGAAAAATTGTATTAGAAAACTAGTATCTAGGAAACTGTAAGGATATATATATGTGTGTATGTATGTATGTATATGTGTGTCTGTATACATACACATAGGCAGTGAAGGCACATGTAACCTCGGAGTACTGCAGGCAACCCTGTAAGACTAAGACTATACAAAGAAGTCATTAACCCGCTTTGGTAGAAGGAGTTTTCTAAGCGTGTATTTCCTACACCAATGAAATCAGAGATCTGGCAAAACAAACAAATAAAACAAACCTACTCTGAAACCTCTAAAATTGAAGAAGCATATTTATTGAATATTTTCCAGGTATGTATCACCTACAGCAGAGGAACTTAAAAGACAGGCATTTTTTTGAAATGTGTTTATCGCTCCCTAGTGGACACCATGAAACACATCATTGGGTCTGACCAAAGAGGCATTATTCAAATTAGTTTTAAAACACAGATATTTTCTTGCAACTGGGTGTGACGTCTTGACTTTTTGACTATCTCTTTAATAAGTTGCCTTAAGACATCAAAAAAGCTTATCAGATACAAAATTTCTAAATGTATTTATTTATTCATTATTGGTTGACTCTTTAAGAGCAACAAGAAAAGATGATGGCACCTTCTAACTCCATCCTGATACAATGTTCTTCCACCAGACTGCTGAATATAAAACTGTTATTACGTCTAAATATGTACATTTTTTACTTTTACAGTAAGACCTTCTTCTATAGAAGCTATTCAAGCCAACTGACAAATATTTATCGAATACCAAAATCACTTGTATTGAGGTTTTCTTTGGTACATCAATATAACAATAATTAAATCTACTATAGCTTTAAGTAGGTAAAGCAGTTACAATTAAATGCTTTTACTACTAACATTTGGTCTAGAAGTTGAGAAGTCTGGGTTTTGTGGCTTCCAACTTCATTACTTCTCGGTGTTTCTCCATCTCTACATACACACTAGTCTGAAACATTCTATTTGAATTGGGCAAGCAATCAATAACTGCATGACGAAATTCAACAGGATGCACTGCAGACTGGTTTGTGTGTGTGCAGAACATGTGTCTCCAGGTCTTACTCAATGAAGAAATAATTCTTTACTACTGACTTTTTAGTGCTATTTTTGATATTAGTAAGGTTATCTGTAATGCACAATTTTTTGCATCATGAAACTTCACAAATTCAAAGTAATTTCTAATGCTAAGAATCTTTGAAGTATTATGAAACTATTATAAACATGAAAGAAGCTTAGAAGGAAAATAAGTTTATGACCATACCTACCATGTTTGCAGAAGAGTTGAAAAATCACACGGCATGTATTAGCACTCGTAAAAATACTGCACTTTTCTACATTTCTTTCAAGTATATTCAGACATCTAAATATGGGCAGAACTGACTGTAACAAAAAAGGTACAGTAATAAGAATTTTAAGTTTTATAAAGAAGATATCATTAAAAAAAAAGAGACTATGTTTGAATTTATACTCCTAACCCTGTTATAGCCAATCCTGTGAGTTTCCTTTTGGGGATGGTAACTACCAATTAAATGTAAATTTCAAATGACATGCAGGTAAAATATTAAACAAAAGAAAGTGAAGACTCTTCGAGGAATTGGTAAAGGAGCTCAGAAAACCCATTTTCTGATTAGGGAAAAGATAACTGTGGGTCTTTCTAAAAACTAGGGACATCATGCTGTTATATAATTAATGTCCTTCCACATTCATGTGAATATAAAAGCAGAAAAGGTTAGGATGAAAACAGAAAGAAGACACTGGCAGCACTAATGTCAGTGTCTTCCTCCTGCTAAGAAAGAACAGAGTTTAGAAAGGGAAAACAAACTTCTGCTCTTTAACTAGTTATAAGAATGTGTGTCTGGGACGGAGGGAAGTCAACAGGGGACTCCTGAATGAATCCCCCTCCCCTGCCAATTTGATGAAATTACAGTTATTTAAAGGGCAATTTAAGCCTGAACCCCTTTCAGACTTTGAGTGACCCATTTGCTCCCTGCAGGGGACAGACAGCATACCCTGAATGATCTATTTGATTGTGAAAGAGTTAGGAAATTTGGATGAAATTGGCAGAGAAAATGGTTTTGCTCTGGGTATGTTTTTTCTCTTCCCACTCATCGAACCACCCTCCTCTTCCCTCATACACACACACACACACACACACACACACACACACACACACACACACACCCCTCTTACATAGGTAATTAAGACTATCTGAATAGAGAAAACAAAGGCAAAGAATTTTGCAATTGAACTGGCCTAAGACTTGAAGTATCGACCTTGAACACACTGGGGAAGACATTCATTCTAACACAAAAATTCTGGTTGAATTGAAAGGGTCTTACTTAAGCTTAAGGAGAAAACCAGGGTCAGATTAAGCAAATGAAGAAAATGAAGAATTAATAAGGCTAAAACTATATGTTTTTCTTTAATAACTAGGTCTTTAGAATGGTCTGCTTCAGTCTTTAAGTACAAACAACTCAAAATCACATAGCATCTCCTTGTTCCCTCCCTCCACTCTCAGGAAAATTCATTCTTTCTTTTCTCTTTTTTTTGTATGAGGCAATTGGGGGTTAAGTGACTTGCCTAGGGTCACACAGCTAGTGTCAAGTGTCTGAGGGCAGATTTGAACTCAGGTCCTCCTGACTTCAGTGCCCGTGCTTCATTCTTTCTTTGCTAGCTTCCTTTGACTGATATCCATTCTAGCAGGTATGAGCTTCCTCAGAGGGAAGGTAGCTCTTACAATCAATCCTCTCAGAGTCTAAGGGTTAACTCTTGTGAGTGACTATTCCTACTAACACTAAAGCTCCCATCAATGTATTTCCCATTAATAAATAGCTACTAATACTCATTAACTAAAACACTAATTGAAAATGAAAAGCAAACATAAAATTTACACAGTATTCCATCCCCAAACCCAAATCATCATCTCCCATCAGTACACATAATATCTCAGGGAGTGGGTACACAGTAAGTCACAGAGTAATGAGGCATACATTTAGGGAACATGTGTAGCCAGGGATACTCACAACTCACAAACAATAAACTTCAACATCCTCTTTCTGTCTCAGGAATCATCCATAAAAGTTTCTTGATGAGTGTAGCTTCTCTGTGAACAAATGCTTCCACTGCTAAACTGACTAACTAGACTAGCACCTCTCTAGGCAAGGCCTCTCAGTAAGATTAACTGATCTGTTGGGCTGCTTCTCCAGTGCTCCACTTCTAAGCCGTTTCTATGCTCAGCTGGGCTCATTTCGTAACAGCAGCTATAGTGTCCATCACTTTGAGCATCAAGCTTATCAACGCATTCAGGCTTAATGATGCCATCAATTGAAGGAGTGTTATGGTCTTTTTGGGAAAGGCAGAAGTCCTTATCCTAATATCAGCAAAAACCTCTCCAACTCTGCTATCTTTAGCAAGGTTCATCTTCTCTTACTTCTCAGTAACAGCAGGTACAACTCAGAGAAGTAACAACTTTGATTTCTTTTCAGCAAGAGTTGATAAGAGAGAGCAAACTATATATTTTCTACTCTCCTTTTCATTAACTAGTCATATATTTTAAAAAATGAGTAACTGCCCCATCATATGCAAATCAACAAATTTTGTCTCAGAACACTCAGCAACTACTTCTCTTCAGAACATATAAACAGACAAGCCTCAGACAAATGAATTGTCAGGGGTTACCCTCCTTATAATCATATAAAGAATTAATTATAAATTAATTAATAGAAAATAATGATAATTTTCCCCTCTCAATTAATTTCAACAATGGATACTCTCACTCTTTTACCAGGGGAATCCTCCCTCTTCAAACCACGTTGCCATGACGAAGACACAACTACTCACCGGAGAGCAAATCCTAATTGTAAGCAAGATATCAATTAGAACTAATAAGCTGAAGTTGCAAAGAGGAAATGACCAACACTTTGAGTGCTAAATTCACATATTTAACCCAAATAATCTGACAGTAAAGTTATACCTAAAAATAATAAATATAAAAGGAGAATGAGCAGAAGATATCTGCAGAATGGCAGTTCAATGCAATAGGCTAACAGATGAATTCTTTTTATAAAATAAAACTTTAGTGATATCTTAAATTAATGTTCAGCAAAACTAAGAAACTTATTGAAAAAGTCTGCCATCATATGTAGTGTTCCATACCCATGGTCTTCTGCTCCTGAAGAAGTACAGGAGGGGGAGGGGAGGGGAAGGTATCTTCTAATATCCAAAAATCTCTTCTCAGGGGCAAAGTTTGATGTCAAAAAATTCATTTTCAAGTGTTTTTTTCTTATTTTCTCTATTTATATTGTTGTAAACACTATGTATGCTGTCCTGGTTCTGCTTACTTCACTTTGTATTAGTTTATAGAAGTCTTTCCATGCTTCTCTGTAGTCATCACGGTCATTGTTTCCTATAGCACAGTAATATCATGATCACATATGTTTAGCCAATCTCCAGATGATGGGTATGTACTATGTTTCCTGTTCTTTGCTACCACAAAAGTACCACTAGCAATTCAAGGTGTCCCAAAAGTCTTAGTGCAGTTTTAAGCTTAAAACATTTTTGTATTAGTTACTTGCTTAAATGTTAATATCCTCTGTCTAGTCTATAAGTTCTATTTGAGTTGTTGACTCCTAGGATAGTAAGCTTACCAGAAGCAGGCACCCCTTTATAAATGACTTACATTGAATGTTCTAATTTAAACCAAAGTATGAAGAATTTATATTTTTGTTCCACATATCAAATATTCCTACTATTGTACTAGGAGAAAAAAAAACCTTGCTGCCCTCAGTTCTCAATGATTTACCTTCATTCCTAATTTACATTTTAGATGCAATGGCATGTTACTGTCACATATTTGAAGCGTAGCTGACCACTGATACAGTTGGAAGAATGAAGTTGGGAATAAAACACTTGCATAAGCTGATCTACAAGAATTCACAGACCGAAGAGCAAGCTGGAAAAAAAAAACAGCAGCAAATGAATTTACACAAAATGATTATTTTAATATCTTAAAACTTAGGTAGTTATATGAAACTATAGTATACAAGCACGATTCTGTGATAGTTTTATTCATATACAAACATAATCTAGCACTAACTATAGGCACCCCCGAGGGCTCTGTCCTGGACCCTCTTCCTTTCTCCCATTATACTGTATTACTAGATGATCTCGTCACCTTCCATGGATTTAATTATCATCTCCATGTTAAGGATTGTCAAATCTACTTATCCAGTTCTAAACTCTTACTTCCAGTTTCTCATCTCTAACTGACCTTCACTCATCTCAGACTTGTTCCAGTAGACATCTTAAATGCAACACGTCCAAAACTAAATTCATTATCTTTCTCCCTAAACATTCCCTCTCTTCCAAATTTCCCTATTACTGTTGAGGGCAACACCATCTTCCCAGTCCCCCAGGCTAAAACCCTAGGCATAATCCTCACTTCCTCACTATCTCTCACCCCATCCCCCTATATCTAATCTGCTGTCAAAGCCTGTTGAGTCCACCTTTGTAACATCTCTGACACGCGTCTTCTTCTCTCCTCTGATCCTGCCCCCACCCTGGTGCAGACCCTCATCACGTCATGCTTGGACTATTGCAATAACCTGTTGGTTGGTCTGCCTGCCACGAGTCTCTCTCTTCTCCAATCCATCATCCATTCAGCCACCAAAGTGATTTTCCTAAAGCACCATGTCACCCCCACACAGTATACTCCAGTAGTTCCCTATCACCTCCAGAATAAAATAACAACTTCTTTGGTGTCCAAAGTCCTTCATAATCTACTTCCCCCTGCCCTTGCCCCACACACCTTTTCAATCTTTTTATTCTTTACCCCCTCCTCGTACTCTTCAATGCAGTGACACTAGCCTCCTGGTTCTTGAATAAGAGACTCCATCGCTTGATTCTAAGCACTTTGCTGCCTCAGTCCCTGGAATATTTTCCCTCCTCATTTCCACCCATGGCTTCCTTCAAGTCTCAGCTAAAACCCCATATTCTACAGAAAGCCTCTTAATTCTAATGCCTCCCTTCTGTTTCCAACTTATCCTATCTATTGCTTGTTCGTGCATATTTGTTTTCATATTGGCTCCCCATTGGACTTTGAGCTCCTTGAGGGCAAGCACTACCTTCTGCCTCATTCTGTTTCCCCAGTGCTTAGTACGTGTCTGACACATACTTGGCACTTAATAAATGTTAACTGACTAACTAGAATGGCTCAAGTCAGCTATATTTGGGGGGGGGGATGGTTTGTTTTTTTTTTAAAGATACAAAATAAAAGTTGTAACAAAGTAATTTCCTTGCATTTTTCATCTTCTGGTAAACAATGAATCTGGATTAAGGTCTTTGGACGATTTCCTTTGCTTTCATATTTGATCTGTTAAGTTAATTTTCACTTACACCTCTTTCAGTCGGGTCAAGCCACAGTTCCTCACTAATTCGAGCCAAAGCATGGATTGCTCTCCCAAACACTGCAGAGAAAAAGGACAGTGGTCTTTAAATTCTTTTCACTGTTGTTAAAAATGAATACAGACCTCACAGATAAGGTGATAAGTATATCTAGTTAAATTCATAGCTCTGTGGCACCTTATTCAAGGGAAGGTGTCAAAGGTCTGGTCAATCTCACACTGTACATACAGAGGCTGTTGTGAAAGATAACTGCCAAACCCCTACCAAATGTTTCCCTGGGCCCTGTCTGAGATGATACTGGTTTATATAGACCCTCTCGCATTTTTTGAGCCGGGGTAGCATTTGCTATGGCTCTGTGAATAATGTATCAGAAAGTAATTCTTTTTTTAAAATTGCTTAAAGTTTTGCTGTATTGTTTATTTGATACTGGCTAACATGGGCCTATATTTCATCTTTTAGCTGCCTTCACCTACTTTAAGATTTCTCCAGATGCCTCAGAAGTAGGCAGCAATGGTGTGGATTGGAAGAGCTTGTCCCGAATCGTGATCCCCAAGAACCCATTGCCATTGAATACTGGCATGTTGTTACAGCACTTGAAGGTTGACAGAACACTTTTTTCACTAAAGCCCCAGAAGTAAGCTGTGCAGGTCATATCATCACTGTCTTACAGAGGATGAAGCTAAGGGGGTAAAGTGACTTGCCCAAAGTCATGCAAGTTTTATCTAGCAAGTGCATTATTCAAATCCTGGTGTTTGCAGTCTAAGGAGATCTGTTAGAGGAGATATTCCTATGAAGTGTTCCAAGAGATGGCCATTGAGGTTCAGTCCAACTCTAAAATACTGTGATTCTGTGGACACTAGCGTTCTTTCCACTACACCTTGGTGGATAGAGTGATAAATGAGAAATCAAATAGACTTGGGCTTGGGCTTGAATTTGTCCTAAGACACTCAGTAGCTATGGCTATGGACTTAGGACATGTCAGTTAACCTTTCTCAGTCTTAGATTCCTCTTCTTAAAATCAGAATGATAACAATATCTACCTCAAAAAGCTGCTTCTCAAACAAGAAGCAAATCATATGCGACCACAGGGATACTTCTAGAGTACTCCCTAAACCTGCTCTCAAACCCTTGCACTGAGTCCTCAGAGAAAGGTTACCATTTTTAAGTCTCTAGCGTACAGATTGTATAGCAGGACAAGTCTCCACCAGTGTGCTTTCTCTCAACAATCAGTCAGCAGATACAATTAGTTCTCAGCAAAAGCATTTACTAAAATGGCACAGAAAGAATGTTGTTTGTCCTCTGTCCTCGAAGACAACAGGCAGTGATGCCGCGACGTGCAAGTAAATAGGATTTATGTGAGGGAGGGCTGTGCAAAGGCACCATCCTGATTCTCTCCTCAGGAGCCGTCTGGGTCCAGCGGCCAGATATAAAACAGGATGGCTGGAGAGAGCCCTGAGGCATGGTGAGAACAGTAGACACAAAACTAGCAATACCCCCATGAACCTGGGGCGCACTCTTCTGCAAACACGCTCAGCATCTTTTGGAAGAATGCTTGCAGGGAGTACACGTAGGAAGCATCTATGGCCAAGACAACTCACAAATCTAGAATTACAGAAACCTGATGTCTTTTCTGTCCCAGTGGCACTCACAAAACTCTCCCTCCCCCTTCCTCCCTGGGCATAATATCTGCGCTGGGCACGTTGCTCAGCTAAGCTTCAAATCTTCTCTCCACAGCTTGATTCTCAATTGCCAGGACTAGCTTTCTTTCAATACCATGGCTAGCTCTCTTCTTTGCTCCAGATGTCCAATCCCTGGGGCAGCTAGGTGGCGCAGTGGATAGAGCACCAGCCCTGAAGTCAGGAGGACCTGAGTTCAAATCCATCCTCGGACCGAACACTTGACACTTACTAGCTGTGTGACCCTGGGCAAGTCACTTAACACCAATTGCCAAAAAACAAAAAACAACAACAACAACAAACAAAAAACAACCCAAAACCAGATGTACAATCCCAGAAGCTGCTTCCGGCCTCAAGAGACTACCTCTCTGTATCCATATCAGTCTGAAATACACATCTCTGCTCCCTCAGCTGTGCCCTGAAATATGGAACTAACTGACTCTTAAACTTCTGGATGGGGTGTCTCTTTCTGGCCAAAGAGCTCTTCCACTACATGCCAGGATTTGAAACCAATCAACTTCGTGATTTCACCAATGTAGATGACTCCAAGAGTGATGACTCCTTTCATCCATACAGATAAAGCAAGTCATTCATAACTTTCAGCCTTACAGAGTTGCCTGGGAGCACTGAGCAGGTAAGTGTCTGAGATCACAGGGTAAGTATTTGTCAGAGGTAGGAATTGAACCCCTCCTGATGCCAAGGCCCAGGCCTCTATCTGCTCCACTATATTGTCTTTCCACAGGATCATAGGTTTATAGAACATTAGAGCTGGAAAGAACCTTAAAGATCATGGAGGACGTTTTACAGAGAAGGAAAATAACTTTTCTAAGGAAACATGAGCTAGAAGCAAGGCAAGAATTCAAACTCAGGTCAGGTCATCATAGACTATGAACATGAAAGCACCTTAGATATCATCTAATTCAATTCTTTATTTTACAGAGGGGAAAACCAAGGCACAGAAAAGAAAAACAGCTTTTCCAAGGAACAAAAATAATAGCATATGCAGGCTTTGAATTCAGGTCCTCTGATTCAAAAATGGTTGCTCTTCAGAGTTGTAAGGGACCTTAGATAACATGAAGGTTCATTTTACAGATCAGGAAAATGAGGGGACTTGCCTTCAGTATTACAGAGAGGTGAAGTCACTTGCCCAAGTTTACCATGAATGGCTGCACTGGGATTCTAACCCAGGTGTTCTGGGCTCCTTTCCATTGACATGGACAACATGGTATAGCAGAGAGAGTGCTAATGACAGGAAGAAATGGGCTTCAATCCCACTTCTCACATTTAATGGCTATGTGACCTCAAGAACTTCAATTTCCTCATCTGTCAAACTGAGATAATAATACCTGTGACACCTCAAAAGATTGTTGGGAGGCTCAGAAGGGAAAATGAAAAACTTAAAGCCTTTGGCAAAGGTCTTCTAACACCTTACTGCCCGTGTAATATATATGTTCTTCTATCCTGCCTGTTCCACAAATGAGACACTCCATCTATTGACTCCAGGCATTCTCTGTCTCCTATCCCTCAGAAGCTCTTCCCTACTCTACTTTGACTACTGACCTTCCTGGCTTCCTTTAAATCTGAACTAAAATCCCACCTCCTACAAGAAACCTTCCCCACCCTTCTTAATTCTAGAGCCAACCTTTATTAAAGCCTGTTTGTTCATTCATTTCAGTCATGTCTGACTCTCCGTGACCCCATTTGGGGTTTTCTTGGCAAAGATACTAGAGTGGTTTACCATTTCCCTCTCCAGCTCATTTTACAGATGAGGAAACCGAGGCAAACAGGGTTAAGTGACTTGCCCAGGGTCATACAGCTAGTAAGTGTCTGCGGCTGGATTTGAGTGCAGGAAAATAAGTTTTCCTGACTCCAGGCCCAGCATTCTTTGCACTGCCACCGAGTTGCCCTTTCTCTCTTTTAATTATTTCTTATTTATCCTGTATGTAGCTTGCTTTGTATATGTTTGCCTGTTGTCTCACGCGTTATATCATAAGCTAATTGAGGGCAGGGACGGTCTTTTGTCTCTGTTTTGTATCCCCATCGATTAGCACAGTGCTTGGCACACAGTAGGTGCTTAATAAATGTTGACTGATTGAAATTACTTCTATTATTATTTCTAAAGGACACACACACACACACACACACACACAGCACTGATGGCGGAGGAAGGATTCAGCTACAGGATCATAACTTAAAGTTGGAAGGGGCCATAAAGAAATAGAATCTATGCTCCCCCTCATTTTAGAGAGAGGGAAACTGAGGCTCATAGAAAGGAAGCCACTTGCCCAAGGTCAAACAGATCATAAGTAGGGCAGCAGACCTAGGATTTGAATCTGGGCCCTCTGACTCCCAATCCATCACTCTTTAGAGCTGGAAAGAAACTTATAGGTCGTGGAAAACCACTCATTCTACAGATAAGGTAAACTGAGGCCTGGAGGTTAAGCCATTTTCCCAAGGACACACAGCATGGCAGCGGTAGAGCCAGAATCCCAGTCTGGGTCGGGTCAAAGGGTCATTTAGTATGGGAGCTGACAGATCATCGAGTCTAGCCCTCATCTTTTTTACAGAGGGAGAAACTGAGGCAGCACCCAGTGGGCCTGGGTCCCCTGGGCTCGGGAGGCAGGTGGGATGGCAGCTGCACCTTTCACTTGGTGGCCGCCCATCTCACAGTTCATCTTCTCCAAGGTGCGGTCGGGGATCTCGGAGCAGAGGCCAGGGTCGCGTCCCAGGAAGACCTCCTCAGCGCGAGCGACGACGCCTCGCGCGTGCTCAGAAGCGCCCTGAGCTTCCCGCTCTTTCCGAGCGGGCCCCACCCCCAGACTTCCGGCCATCTGTTTCCATGCACGTCGCCCCTTCGCTTACCGGGGAATCAAGACCCCTCCGGGCTGCCGTCGCCGCCTCGGAGCTGGAGTTCGTTTTCATTGGTCGGGCCCTCGGTGGGCGGGTTCCTGGAGAGGCTGAGGAAGGAGGCGGCGGCGACGGTTGCTGTGGCGGAACGGGGCCAGTGACAGGATGGTGAGAGCGGCGGCCCGCGAGCAGTCCCAAGCGAGGGGGAAGACAGGGAGAGGGAAGGAGCCCGGGGGGGGGGAGGGAGAAAGAGTGAAGGCCACGGCCGGTGGGAGTGGAAGCGGAGGGAGGACCCGAACCCGGTTCCGGCTGTGTCAGGGCCCAGCGCCCGAGCGGCGTGGCCCCAGGGAGCGGAGCGGAGCGGAGGGGTGTCTCCACCCGACCCCAGAGGCCCATTGCAGGGCCCGAGACCGAGGTGCCTCGACTGCCCCTCCTTGGGTCAGCTGTTCCTCCCGAGTCACGAGACCTGCGCCCCCACCCCTGGTCCGGGAAGCCGGACGCCGGGGTCCGCCGCGTCACATGACCACTCAGCAACCCAGAGGCCCTTCTCCCTAATCTTTAAATGAACCGGCTGGAGAAGGGGACGGGCCCGGCGGCCTCCCGGTCCCTTCCAGCCGTGACAGCCTCAAAATCGTGGAGGCGACTACGGGAGAGCCCCTTCCCCGCTCCGGGGCCTCAGTTTTCCTTCCCAGTAAAATGAAAGGTCATTGATTGGAAACAGGAGGAGACTTTAAATACATTTTAGCCCAATCCCTCATTTTGCCGAAGGAAACAAACAAACAAACAAAAAAATAGAAGTAGCAGAGCTGAGATTCGAACACCGATCCTCTCTGATTCCAAATCCGGCATTCTTTCCCCCGTTGGTCCCTTCCGGGTCTTAAATTCTCTCGGGAAGCTTTAAAGGCCTTTTGGGGAAGAGGCTTCTAACCTTTCATATCTCTTCCCCCAAAAGTCAGTTTTGTTCGAGGCCTCCGAGAAGACTTCTTGGATAGCTGAGTATTAAGTAGAAATTCTGCCTATTTCCGTTTTCCACCTGGGCCTTAAATTCTTTGAAAAAAGGTACTTTCATAGAGTAGAAAGAGCACTGGTATTGGGGATCTCATGGTGACTCTGCTTCTTTCTGCCTGGGTAACTTTGGTCAAGTTCCCTTCTCGGATCCTCAATTTGCTCACCCGTGAAATAAGGGATTTGGGACAACTCAGGAGTTCTTAGCCTTTCTTGTGTTCTGGATTCCTTTGCCTGTCTGGTGAAGCCTATAGACCCCTTCTGAGAATGTTTTTAATGCATAAGTTAAAACATGTAGTATTACAGAGGAAATAAATTTTATTGAAATGCAGTTAACAATTTTTTAAAAAGAATCCTAAAGTAGGTGACTTGTAAGATTCATTCGATTTTTAAATCCTGAGATTATTGGGGGTAGATTCATCTTTCCATTAGTACATGTTTCTTCCATTGGAATTGCCCAACTATTAAGTAGTATTAAGTTCTGGTCTTCCTAAGTCAGTGGTTCATAACCTTAGGTCCATGGACCATCAAGGAGTCTGTGGATCGATTTCAAAGGGTCCATAAAGTTGGATGGGAAGAAAATTACACCTTATTTTCACCTGCTTCTAACTCAAATTTAGTATTTCCCTCAATTATTTTAAAACATTATTCTGAGAAAGGGTCCATAGGCTCTGCTAGTTTGCCAAAAGGTGGGTCCATGACACAAAAAAGTTAAGAAGACTTGTCATAAATTGATTATAATAATTGACAACTATATACCACTTTTAAGATTTTCAAAGAGTTTCACATACATTAACTAGTTTAATTAAGAAGTCACAGTAAATCCTTGTTTTTTTAGGGTCTGTTAGAGCAACCTGGATATCTTTTTTCTTTGTATCAGTATGAGGTTAAATTGTATCCCCCCCACATGTATATAACTTGCATTTTTTAATTTGCTGAGATGTATGCAATCCACCTTGCTTTTTTTTTGTTTAAGTAGATTGAGGGTAGAATTGGCTGACAAAGTTTTAAACTCAGACTTAGTGGTCTTAGTCCTGGTTTTGGTTGTTAGCTCCAAATTGAATCGCATCTAAATTGTTAGAAGCCTTATAATCATGTAGGTCCTTTTGGGGTCTCAGTTTCCTCTTTGTAAAATGAGGGTGCTAGACTAGTTGGTGGTCATTTGTATTATTTCTAATATTCTTCTCTTTTGATGCAAAAGGAAAAATAACATTGCACAATAACAATGAGCAAGTTCTGTTCATGGGGGAGAAGAAATAAGAAATAGACTGTATTCATTTTTTCAAAGTCTTAAGTCTAAGAAACTAATAGGTGAGGATTGCTACATCCGCAACTACAGTAGATTTGTCACATTAATAGAAAATGATCATGTAGCATTTTTAGATAACTAACTTGGAGCATCACTTTTTAGTTGAAGCTACAGGGAGAATTAGGTTAATTGTAACCTTAACTAACACCTTTATGTTGTAAAGCTCTTCATTTGCCAGAGAGGACAGGGAAAATTCAGTAATAGTATACATACTTGGTGTAGAATATCAGGATTCTGTAAGCATCAAGCTTATATGTGGGGAAGATTCAACTTATCTAGAAAAATTTTCCTTGTTTTTGTTATCTTCCTCCTCCAGCTCCCCCACCCCATCAAGACCGGAGGAGATTGTTTTGTTTTTTGCCTTTGTAACTCCAATACCAATAGAGTAACCTGAAAGTTGTAAATGCTTAATGAATGTTTATTGGATTAGATTAGATTCAAAAGGCATTTAGATAGCTTGTTCCTGGTCTTAGAGGAATAGAGACTTGGACCTGATTTTACTGATTTAGGCAACTCTTAGGTGAGGAAACTTCCTCTATCAATCCAGGTCAGCACCTTCTTTACAACATAGAATAAAAGAGAATTGCTTAGGGCAGCAGTTCTCAAAGTGTGCTTCTTGTACCCCCAAGAGTCCCCAAGGTCAAAACTGTTTTCATCTAAATACTAAAGACTTTGTTTGCTTAGTAAACTGCCCCTCCCTTTTCCCACTGCATATCTATGTGAGGCCATATTTTCTTCATACTTTGACCAAAACAATATAGTGTAACAGAATGAATGTAGAAAAATATGTCAGTCCAACTGCCTTCTATTAAGTTAGATAGTAAAGGTATTTACAAAAATACGAAAAGCAATGTCCCTCTTCTCATTAAAGTTTTTTTCTCATAAAAATGTCTTATTTATGTTAACATGTAATGGGTTTTATTATTGGTATTAATGAATTACTAAACATTTTAAAATTTTATCCATTTTAATTTCTAAATTTCTAATTAATAAATATCGATAGGTATTACCTACATAAATAAAAGCTCTTTGGGGTCCTTAATAATTTTTATGAGTTTAAAGGAGTCCTGAGACCAAAAAATTTTGAGAGCTGCTGGCCTAGAGCTCTGAATATGTGTGACTTGCCCACAGTCATATAGACAGAGCACTGGACTTAAACCCAGATCCTCCTGGCTTTAAGGCCAGTGCTCATTCCACTATGTAACACTGCCTTTCATCATGATGTGCATAATAAATGATGAGATCTGGCAACAGTATAATTTGCAACCATTAGAATCATATACCATTAGTTTAAAGTCATATATTACTAAGTCAGTAACTTTTAGAGGCATATTTGATTACTTAGCACTATATGAATCTATAAACACAAGCCCCAGTTATGTGACAATTGATGGGAATGTCTCCAAATTTGCCATTTCAGATTCTAGATTGAACTGAAAGATGAGGGCAATAAATCTCGACCACAGATCTAGGGGATCATTGTGGGGAAAGAATGTTGGAAAGAATTTGTAGCATAGTTTTAAAAAGGAAAAATAACCCCCAAACTAGATTAATAAGATTAAAGTGGTTTCTTTTGGTATCATTTTGAGCACGGTGTGAGCAAAGCTGATTTTTTTTTAACATTTTCCTTCATAACACGCAGAATTCATTAACAGTTTGCATATTTATTTGGCTAAATATTTTTAAATTTTATTTTCTTTTGCTTTCTTTTGTTTAACATTGGTCATGTTTCACCCTTTTTTTCATCCCCCTGTCTGCAATCAACCTCTTCATTCCAATAAGGCTGGGCACAGAGTAAGTTTCTTCTTGTAGCTCCTACTAACATTGGTGGTGGGTGACTGAGTCAGATCTATTAGAGCATCTTAATGAGGTACAGATTTCTGAACTTTTATTGTTGGTATTTTGTTCTTGGGTTTCTTACCTTTACTGTATCTGTCAGGGAGAAGTAAATGACTAAATTCTGACACCTTAACTAATTGGGGTTGTAGGCTGATATTAGCTCTAACGTCTATTTTAAAATACACTAGACTCTTGCTATAACCTGACTTGTTGAAGTATGAAATTAGGGGTAAGGTAAAACTCATTCAAGGGTACTTTGTACTCAGAGTAGCAGAAATACACATAACATTGTTTCACCTACTGAGTCCCGTATCATGGATTTAGGGGACACTTGTAACAAGATTCTAGTGTACTTCCCCACTGCTTTGGGTTCATCTTTTTGCATAATGATGACACATATGTTTCTGTACTGTTAACCCCTTTCTCTGGTCCAAGTGTGCGTACCTTGAGGATGATCCACTGCGTTTTATAGCGTATGCTAGCCTGTTGAGGTCATTAATAAGGAAATTATCATAAAGACATAGCATTATTTTCAGTGTGTTTAAGGTGAATTCTTACCTAAATATATGTATGTATATATATATATTTTGGAGTGTTACGGGAGCATAGCCTTTTGTGATTTTGTTTTTGAGGAGTCTGGGTGCCTTTTTTTATATGGCCATTTATTTTTTTTGTCATTTCTCAAATGCCAGTGTCCCACATTAACTCCCTATGTATTTCAACCCTGACCCCAAGGGACCACCTGCCCCTAAGGGTGAAGATTGTTTGGTCTCCAGAGACCTCTGTATGCTCTTCAGGGAGGGCAGAAGTATGCAGGTGGTTAGTAGCCATT